TTTAAAAAATAAAATAAATTATTTCTAGATAAGGTGATCTTTAAGTCAATGAATTTTTTTTGCTCAGCAAAGAGCAAAACTCCTCATGATTATATCCTATGAACCAAATTTTTCTCCACCCAGTCCTGTTCCTCTCTGTTGTTAAGCACAATTCTATAAAGCTGTAGCTCATTCACTTTGTCTACTGACAGTCTACAAAAACGAACCTTTCTTTAAAAAAAAAAAAAAAGTTTATTTACTTATTTTGAGAGAGTGAGAGCTCCTACGAGCAGGGGAGGGGCAGAGAGAGAGGGCGAGAGACTCCACAGCTGGCCCTGAGTTTTCAGCACAGAGCCCAACGAGGGGCTCAATCTCACAAACCATGAGATCATGACCTGAGCCAAAACGAAGGGTGGGACGCTCGACCAACCGAGTCACCCAGGCACCCCCCAAAACAAACCTTTCAACTCAGAACAGCACTGACTCTACCATTCCAAAACCAGGGTAATGAACATACTTTAAGATGTCTGCCAGCTGTAGTAATATAAAATTGTGTCTCTGTGTGCACAGGATACCAACTACAAGCATCTTCCTATTTCTCTTAAGTGGCTGTGTCTCAAGACATCATCATACATGAAACTATTGACCATGCAGAGAAGGAAATCCACACACAACTCAAAATCAAACAATCTTAAATCTCCACTCTTTAGGAGAACTATGGGCAAACCAATCACATGAACAGTGAAAGTAAGAAAGATCTGAAAGGTAACAAGGAATAACGGTAAAGGAGAGACGCTTTATTCACGAACAGATGATTTAACTTCTCTGCCTATCAGGTGCCTAGTTAATAAATAAAAAATAATACACTTTACAGGGTTGTTGTAAGCATCAAATGAGTTCTTACATGAAAATGATTTGCCCAGTAAAAGAAACATAATAGGCACTCAATAAATGCCAGCTCCTTCCCCCTTCAGTTCTCGGCCCTCTGTTCTTTGTTTTCTACACTCATTCTCCCAGATGACTCAGCCTTCTCATGACTTTTATTAACAAATGCTGAAAACTACTACATCAATCAAAGCCCTGATATGTACATGCATGCCCACAGTGTAAGAAGCTGCCTGCCCCCCACCCCCAAAATACTTAGGTGAGAAAAGCAGAGAAGACAACCCAAATATCTGAATTTCACCGTAAGAACAAGCACTCAGTGGGGACAAACATCCATAAGTTTCCAAATATCTCCTGAAGATTTCCATTGCCATCTCAAAATGCCAGAAGTCAAATTGCCAGTATCTTTTACCTAAAACCAGACTCTTCCTGCCCCCTTTTTAGGCGGTGAGTAGAATCCAACAAAGAATAATCCTTGCTCTACCCTTCCCTCATCTAAATATCACTAGGTAACCCAGGCCCATCAAATCTACCTTCATAATTTCTATGAAGTTCTAGCCTCCTTTGCTGTTCCACGGTTACCACCAGAGTCCAGGTGAGGATGTCTCGATCTCAGCACCACTGACTGGCATTTGGGGTTAGATAAATCTTTGTTGGGGGGCTGGCCTATGCACTGTAGGATGTTTAGTGGCATCGCTGGCCTCTGTCTGCTAGATGCCGGGAGAATTGCTCCTTCCTTACAAGTTAGGACAACCCAAAATGTCTCCAAACAGCGCCAAATGCCCCTGGGAGATAAAATCATCCTCCCCGGTGTCTCCCCCACTCCTGCATTTGAGCACCGTAGCCTCGCTCCTCACCATTCTCAACAGAGAATGTGTTCCCAAATTCATCTCCAGCTTCTTCCCTCTAACTCCTGCTGCACTGATCTAAAGGCCTTGTAAAGCATGGCTTTTATGAGTCATTTCTCTTATACTACAACTCCCTGTTACCTTCACAATTAGTTCAAAGCTCTCCACCCAGCCTTGATAATTTGGCCTCAATTAAACATTATCCAACAAAGCACCTCACATAGTGTCTAGCCAGCAGCCCTTCAGTAACAGACCTGTTCATCCAGATCTGTTTCCTATTGCACAGCTGTTACCCTGGTTGGAATGCCCATCACCCAGGATCCATTCCAGACCACTGCAAAGCCTCCTCCTCACCCCCCACCCAAGGTCAAAAACCATTAATGAGTCTCCACTGCTTACTGAAATATGAAATCTTCTGCCTTCTTTAGGGTCTTTCTCAGTATGGTCTCTTTCTAACTCTATGTTCCATTATCCCCCAAATATACTGCAGCTTCAGCAAACCTTAAATCTGCTAGTTCTTGAAAAGGCTCCTCCCCTTTCCAACTTCGGTCTTGTTTTTTTCTCTGTCTGAAAGTCTTATCCGACCCACTGCTCTCCCTCCATACTAATTTAATGTCCATCTCAAGTCAAGAAGGCTTTCCTGACCATAACCTCTTTTGCACCTCTCCTATGGCATTCACATGGGTGCTTCATGTTACACACGGGTATCCCTGTAATTTACAAGGTCCTTGAGAGCTTCTTACTCCTCTTGTGATGGCCTGCAACACCTAGTCCAGTTAAGTAACTCACTCAATATACAGGAACTGACCCAAATGTATCCCACTTAGAAAGCAACAAAGGACTGTCTTCAGACAATCCCAAACTCTCTTAAAAGAACTAAATCCAATTCCCCTTTTAGCTCACATTTTACACTTTAGGCTGATTTTTAAGTAAACTGCCTTCAAGATATCCATAATACTATTTAGTATGTATTACTGTAAGAGTTCTGCTTCAGCAAGTTTCTGCAGCTTCCGACTTGTAACTGAATCCTGAATATTTATGGTATTTATGCCCTCTCTTTATACAAAAAGGCAATAGAAATTTCTTTTTGAATATTAATAAACCTGAGAAAAACACAAAAATAACTTGGATTAAACATATTTCAAGCAAAGGGTAATGCTGATTTGTCTATCCTAAATACCACTAAATAATACATTAAAAGTCCTAAAGTCTTCATGCACTATTAAAAATATAAGTCAGTTTAGGGGCACCTGGGTGGCTCAGTCGGTTAAGCGTCCGACTTCAGCTCAGGTCATGATCTCACGGTTTCTGGGTTCGAACCCCACGAGCCTGCTTCAGATCCTGTGTCTGCCTCTCTCTCTCTCTGTCCCTCCCCTACTCACACTCTGTCTCTCTCGAAAATAAATAAAAACATTTTAAAAGTTAAAATATATATATATATAATTAAATATATATACAATTAAATATATATATACACACACATATATATATATATATGTGTGTGTGTGTGTGTGTGTGTATATATATATATGTCAGTTTATTTCGGCTCCCCCTCCCCAAAAACATAAACTGAAACAGAACTTGGGAAGTTTCTCATTAATTTTAGTTCCTAAATGACTTGAAAGTATGTTTTGTTATTGCTACAAAAAAAGGAATATCGTTAATGAGCACATTCTGGCTAAAAGTCTAACCCCAAAGCCATCGGAGGAAGTAGAGAACCCCACACTGCCACCACCATTCTTTTTAGCAAGGGTTGGCAAACTACAGGCCCTGTTTGGTATGCTCCTGAGCTAAGAATGGCTTTCACCTTCTTAAAGAGTAGCAAAAACAAAAACAAAGAAGAATGTTCGACCATAAGTAGCCAGCAAAGCCTAAAATATTTACGTTTTGTCCCTTTATGGCAGCATGGCTTTGAGACTCCCAGCTGTCGTTATCTAAGACACCCAACTTTTCCTCCTAAGGTTTTTTAAAAAGCATTATGACACACACAAAATTATGCAAAAGGACAGAACTCCTTCAACTTGGTCATAGTTCATGCACAGGTTAACTTCGAAAACAGAGACCTTTATGGACATTTTTATGCCTCCAGAACTGTTGGAAGAAACCGGACTCTCATTCTTCAGATGAGCAACGCTTACACTTGAAGAGTGGAAGTGCCTGGCCCAAAGTCACACTGCCAGTTCACAATAAAATGGGGTCAAAGACCCAGGCCTCAAACCTCCTGATTCAGTGCCCTCTGGGGTATACTACATTACACCCATGCATACGGCTTTAGGTTTTGGAGAGGTGGGTAACCTGGCTTGGATCATCACAAAGATGAAAGCTTAAAAACTGCTCCTGATATGCTGTTTAGACAGACTCTTACCAGCAGCGATGAATCATTAAACAGAGTAACAATAATGTTCACCACATAAATTAGATAAGAACTTCTAGGAAACCTTCCATTTTAAAAAACAGATGTGATAGAGAAAGCTTAAAATGTACTCTGCTTGCTCCTCTAGAGCTGCGGATCTGATTGAGGCAAACAGGCACGTCTGACTTCCAGCTGCTCAATACTTACTTATCTCCCAATCCCAATCCCTAAGTTCCACTAAATGTTACCGAATGTGCATCAAAAAACTGTCCAGTTTACATCAGCCACACGTTCTATAATTACAAGTTCTTTCCATATCTACTTGCAAACTACTAGCTATAAATTCAAATTTTTGATCTCCCCAAGAATTCAGCTTCCTTAAGAAAAAGGCTTCTTCGATTCCTACAAAACCCACTTTGTCTCGCCCGCTGGCTTATTCAAGAATTTAAAAAACATTTTACCTATACTGATAACTTTACTACTCTGCAGGATCCGGAGAGCTATGTTATATATCAGGATCTACGATTCAAAGAAAGGCATGGTAACAATCCGATACCCTTCATCTGAAGTTGCTCTTCCAGTTGTGAAAAATACAGATTTTGAGAGGCAGCCGAGAAATACTGGACTTAGGTTCTTGAGCGAGAATACACAGACCTCCGCCCCCCGCCCCCCACCGTATCTCTGCGTGACTTTTGTCCTCTAACAGCGACCCCTCCCCCTCGACCGCGCCGCGAGTCCGGGCCACCCGGGCACCTGCGGCCCCAGCCTGCAGCTGGGGAGTCCGGGGGCACAAGCCCACGGCCGGCGCTGCTGGAAACGGCGCCCACTCCCACCCCCTTGGCGGCGGGCGGCTGGAGGCCGGAGCCGCCGGGAAGCGACCGGTCGGCGGCCGGCAGAGCCCCGGACGCGACCAGAGGCGAGGGCGGCGGCGTTACCTGGAGGACCACGTCGTTGGGCAGCTGCGCGGCCCGGAATAGCTCCAGCACCCGCCCGTTGGCCGCCACCTTCTTGGTGCTCTCGATGTCGCAGTAGGAGAAGAGATCCGAGTAGTATTTCTGCTCCGCATCGCTCAGCGTCAAGCCTTCCATCTTCGCCTCCGGCTCACGGCCGCCCCGCCCCGCATGCAACACCCGGAGCCCGGCCCCACGACCCCGGGACGGCGGGGGCTGTGCGCGGCCCGGCTTCCTCCTCGCCCCGCGAAGCCGCGGGGAGCCCCAGCCCCGGCCTCACGCGCGCGGGGGGCGCCCGAGCAACAGGGCCGGGAGGTCGCGAGGAGGGGGCCCGGCTGGGCTCGGCGCGCCGCCGCCTGCGAGGCCCCGCGCAGTCCCGGGCTCGGCGCGGCTCCGGCTCCGGCTCGGCGGCCGCGGGGAGGGCGCGGGGAAAGGAGGCGGGGGCCGCCGCGGCGCGAGGCACAGGCGGACTCCGCCACCGCCCCCGCCGCGGGTTCGAGTCTCCCCGGCTCTCAGGCGCTTCCCCCCAGACTTCCCGCCTCGGCTCCCCCTTCCGTCCACGCCCCCCCCCCTCCGGAGCGGCGGCACTTCCCGGAAAGTTGTGGGGCTTCGAGTCTAAAGTTTCGGGGGCTCTGAGCTGAGCGTGGCCGCCGCTCCGCCTCCCTCCGCCGCCATTTACTGCGCCCCGGCCCGGCCCCCGACGCGCCCGCACCAGCACTGACAGCGGCGGCCGCGCTCCAGACCCGGATGTGAGGCCGGGAGGAGAGAGCGCGAGAGGGAGAGAAACACCCACCGGGCTGGCTCGGCCGCTCCCGGGAGAGGGGGGGCCGCAGCGCCCCCTGGTGGCCGGAGCCCCGCGGCGGAGAGCAGCCCCCAGCCCCGGAGGGAGGAGCTGGGACCCCGGGGCCGCGGACCAGGGGTTCACGGCAAGCTGCTCACTAGGACCTGGGGAACTCAGGTACGGGTTGCAGTTTAGATTGTTTCGAAGCTTCTGGCACTAAAGGTTTCATTCATAAACGTTGACTGAAAGAGGAACATTGTTCAGGTTACTATGATTGTATCTGTTGGTACCTTTGTTGTTACCTTCTAGATGTCAGATGTTTCTGAGGATAAATGCAATATTTCTATGTGCTCTGAAGAACTATGAAGATTCTATCTGGGAACTTTCATAATGACACTAACACTGAGGCTTAACTCCCACTCTTACTCCAAGCATGTTTACCTGAGAAGCAAAATTTGATGAATAGAGGGAAAAACTGGCAAAGTTTTCTTCTATGTGCAAGGTAGTTCTGGTCCCCGGGAACTTAGTGCCATAAATGTATACCAACACCTCTGTAAAGTCGCATAGGCCCTGGGCTGACCTCAGGGGCTCCTGCCACTCCTAATTTTCTCCTTTACGAAAATCCTGCCCTGTTCTGATCGGTCGCGATCAGAGGAGAGTTGTAAGATATCCGGAGTAGAATATCTTAAGGGTTTATACTTAGGAAATATTTTAAAAACAGTGGTTAAGGCTATTTGTTATACAGGTTTTTCCATTTGGGCTTTTATTGTGTCTTTTAGATGTTGCTCCCTAGAGTTCTGATCCTATAGATGGCCCATAGGAGGAAATTATTACAGGTTCCCAATCCTTTATCCAAAATTCAAAAAGTGCTGAAAATCCAAAAGTTTTTTTGCAGCGCTTCGGCAGCAAAATCTTCTCTGCCTCATTTGGAGGCCAAATCTTAATGCACATGAAGCTATTTATAATCTTATTTGTGCCACTTAGTGTCAATATTTACTCATTTTACTCCAGGCCTTTATGGGATGTTAATATATGCATAGTTACAGGCATTTTATTACTTGTCTTTAAAACATATATAGGGTTTTAACCTAGTGTATGACTATATTTTATGTATATAGATACATTTATATACATGTATCTAGATACATGTGTATATATATACATATATATGTATTTTTAAATTTTTTTTTTAACGTTTACTTATTTTTAGGACAGAGAGAGACAGAGCATGAACAGGGGAGGGGTAGAGAGAGAGGGAAACACAGAATCGGAAACAGGCTCCAGGCTCCGAGCCATCAGCCCAGAGCCCGACGCGGGGCTCGAACTCACGGACCGCGAGATCGTGACCTGGCTGAAGTCGGACGCTCAACCGACTGCGCCACCCAGGCGCCCCTACATATATATTTTTTATGTACACACACACACACAGGCCTATGGAGCTGTAAATACTTTCTAACTGGACCCCTTGACCAGCAGCATTTTAGGTAGATATACGTATATAATATATATATATATATATTATATATACACATATGTAATATATATATACATATACATTTGTATATATACACATATACATATGTGTACATATACATATACATATGTATATATACATATACATATATACATATATACATATATATATGTGTGTGTGTGTGTATATATAAAACCTGCCATTAAGCTCCAGTTGTCCTATCTCTAAAACTTTCAATTTGTCACACAGACATCTCACATACCCCTCCAGGGGACCTGCCGGAGGTGACCAGACCCCCACAGATGATTTGTCTTCCAAAAGCGTAAATTGGAGGAGCATAATGGGGTAGGGATTGGATCACAAAGGTCTTCAGCGTCTTACTCTCCACCACCTTTCCTAGGCCTTGAATCTCTCCTGCCCCAGGGCCTTTGTTTCTGCTGCCTGAAATACTCTTCCCACAGACCTTTGCAGGACTTGTTCTCCCACACCATTCAGGTCCTTTTTCATCTGTCACCTCCCCAGAGAGACCTTCCTCTCCACATCTGATCTGAAACAGCCCTACCACCACTCTCTATCCCCCTCCCTGAATTATTTTTCTTCCTAGCACTTGTCACTACCCGACATTAAAGTATATATCTGTTCACATTTTTAATAGCTAATAGTCACCGAGTGCTTACTATGTTTCAGGCACTGTCCTAAAACTTTATGCTAATGACCACATTAAGCACAACAATCCTATGAAGTAGGCACTTAATATTTTTATTGGACAGATGAGAAAAGCGAGGCACAAATGGATTAAGTAATTTATTTATTAAGTCACATTGTTATTAAGTGTCTGGATCTGGGATTCAAAACCCAGGAAATCTCAATTTAGAATCACTGTCTTAGAGCTTTTCTTACTTGTTTGTTAGGTCTCCCAGCTACCATCCCTGTATTTACCAGAAAATACTTGTTCATTGCCATGCATCCAAGGCCAATAGTGTTCAGCAGGAACTATTTGTTGAATGAATGAATGAACAAACAAACTGATGACGTGATGAGCCAGTCGGTACCCTAATCTCCTAACTCGGCTCCCTTAACTCCAGCAACCTCCAGCCCCACTCCGCCTTAGCAACCTAAAATACTTGCTTCCCTTCCAAGTTCTGGAATTCTGAAATTTCCTTCTCAGTCCACAACGTGCTATCCCTTTCGTCTTGCCTCCCATTCCTTGAATAAGCCTTCTCCTTATCACCTTTGGGTTCCTCTCTCCCAATCCTAACACATATTTCATGTGTTCAAAGTGTACTTTGAGCATCTTGCACCGATGTAAAATAAACTGCATGATCTTATCCTCGGGGATCCTCCATCTAGGGATCTCATTGTCAGTCATGTCAGGGACACCCTAAAACACCCTGATTCCCTCATGCATTGCCCTTCCCCACTCCCCCTTGCCAAATGCTAAAACTGAATTGACCACAACATGTGAGTTACAGGATGTTGAGGGGGGGGGGGGACTCCTGCGGTCTCACTGCTCTGTGAGGCCTTCCTAATAGGATACACACTGGGAGCAAAACCAAGCTGAGGACGAAAAGTCACCAGGACCACATGATCCACCCCCCCCCAAAAAAAGAGCAACGTCAAACCCCCACCCCTAAGGGCTAAGTTGCTAAGTTGCTTCTTAGCAACTAAATGGACCCTACAGCCAGCTTAAGCCCCAGGCCCACTCCCCATGTTCCCGAAGGAGTCCTGAACATCACTCAGCTTGTGTGGAGCACTGTGCCCGTGTGAGATCTCCTCCCAACAAGCACACACTCCCCACACGGGCAGGCCAGGCGCTCAGAAAGACAGGGAGGCCTGCTCTAGGGGGCCTGCCTTCTCAGCCCCCTGCCGTATTCTGGGTGGGCTTGGTGCTGGAGAGCTTGACAATTCCACAAATGAAAGAGATTTTTCTCTATATCCGTCACTTAAATTTGTATTTCCAGGTATGAAAGGGGGAAAAAAATACAATTTAACACATGCTCTTTGAGGTCAAGTTTAATTTTTCCCCCTAGTAAACATTTCTAGACCCATCAATTTTTAAAAGTGACATCATGAGAAAGCTATTTTAAAACAGATGGTCTATATTATATAGCTACAAATTTAAAGATGCGGGTTTTCAGGGGAAGATCAAATAGTTGGTTACTGCCAGCAAATGCCTCAACTGTTATTTAACTGGAAATCTCTAGGTTTTTAAGGTAAACTGTATACAATAAAATTCATTGTCTCTGGTACACAGTTCTGTGAGTTTTGATGAATGCACATAGTCCCATATCTACCGCCAAAATCAAGATGCAGAACCATTCTGTGACTCCCCCCCTCCAAGTTTCTTAGTGTTGCCCCTTTTTACTCACCTCTGCCCTCCACTCTCAGACCCTGGCAACTACTGATTTGTTTTCTGCTTCTACACTCTTATTTATTTATTTATTTATTTATTTATTTATTTATTTATTTTTTCAACTTTTTTTTAAATTTATTTTTGGGACAAAGAGAAACAGAGCATGAACGGGGGAGGGGCAGAGAGAGAGGGAGACACAGAATCGGAAACAGGCTCCAGGCTCCGAGCCATCAGCCCAGAGCCTGACGCGGGGCTCGAACTCACGGACCGCGAGATCCTGACCTGGCCGAAGTCGGACGCTTAACCGACTGCGCCACCCAGGCGCCCCTCTGCTTCTACATTCTTACCTCTTCCAGAATGTTCTATACATGCAATTCTGGGGTATGTAGCCTTTTGAATCTGGATTTTTTTTTTCACGTAGCATAATGCATCTGACATTCTCCCACGTTCTGGCTGCTATGGTGGTTCATTTTTTTTTTTTTAATTGCTAAATAGTATTCTGTTGCATGAATGATTAGAATTTGTTCCTC